GAGAAAGAAACTGTTTTCTTAAAAATATTTATAAAATTAAATATTTCGAATTGCGGCATAAGTACAAGGCTAAATTAGCTAATGCTAAGCTTGAGTCGTGGAGAAATTTTCTCTCAACTATTACTGTTCACAATGTCTGGAAATCTATATATAAGTATGGGGTTAAGACCAATTTTGCGAAATGGATTGAGATTTCGGGAATTAAACTCCGGATGGCAGTGTTACTTCGAGTTTGAGTGATACAATTGTTGCTATAATGACAAAGAATTTCCCAAGAGATAATGCGCGTGATGATAGAAATTCTCATAGAACTATGCGCTCTGAGTCTGATGGACCTTATATTTCTTTTATGGACTGTCCGTTCTCTACTTCAGAAGTTAACAGTGTTATTAAACATCTCAAGAAGAACAAATCACCTGGGCTTGACTCTCTTTCTAATGAAATGGTACAGCACTTTCATGCGGTGGATAGCATATTTCTACACAGACTTTTCAACCTTTGTTTACAATTAGCAGTTTTTACAGGACAATGGAAGAGAGCTCGGGTTGTTTTGATTCCTAAAACGTTAGATACAAGAACCCCTTATCTTGATAATATTAGATGCATTAGTCTTTTGACTACTTTGGGAAAATGTCTTGAAACTCTCTTCATTAACAGAATAAATTGGTATTTGAGACAAAAATGTTTTTATAATGATTCTCAGTTCGGATTTACTCCTCGGAAGTCCGCTGAAGACGCCATTATTCGCCTTTTTAATATCTTGCAGTGTGCAAAGAAAATAAAGTATACTACACTTCTTATTTTCCTGGATTTCAAAGGAGCTTTTGATAATGCTTGGTGGCCATCTACCTTAAAAATTTTAAAAGATGCTGGTATACCACATAATATCTATAACCTTCTTAAAAGCTTCTTGAACGAGAGGACTGCTGAGCTTCAGCTTGGGAACGAAGCTAAGGTTTATTCTCTAGAAAGGCTGTCCTCAAGGCTCTGTATCCGGACCTACTCTTTGGAACATAATCATAAATGATCTTTTAAGTCATCTCGACGGTTTTTAAAAATTGCGTTTGCAGACGACTTACTATTAATTTTCCAAGGAAGGATTTTGAATAACATTCTTTTGAGAGCACAAGAAGTTCTAGATTTTGTCTCCAGTTGGGCGATTTCTCATAAACTCACTTTCAATCCTTCCTTCAAAAAGTAAAAGCTATGCTTGTTCCCAGTACGTTTAATGAACAAAATATTGCTTCTTTGATGCTCGATAATTCTCTTTGGAATTTGTAGAAAATGTTAAATATCTTGGTGTCATTCTTGACCAAAATTAACATGGAAAAAGCACATTGAATTCCTTTCTGCTAAATGTGAAAAAATTATTAATGGCTTTCACCGAATTGCCCAAAATACTTTTGGAGTAAGCTACGATGTTAAGAAACTCATGTATAAGCAGTTGTATTGTACCTTTCATTTCATACGGCTGTCGTGCTTGGGAACATGTTCTTGCCAAGAAGGTTAACAAAAGAAATTTAAGAAAGATTCAACGGAGAATTCTTCTTCGTATTATTAGTGGTTATAGAACCTTAAGCTATGAGGCTACTTTTGTTCTTGCAGGAGTTCCGCCTATTGATTTTGAAATTGCATATAAGATAATATTTTTGAGTCATTGGCAACTCATGCTTCGGAAGACTGTATTAATGGAATTGTCCCCTTCACTGATCTTCCTCATCCCGCTTCTTTAGAACCCATAAATTTCTGCGATTATAAAGAGACTGCTGAAATAAGTTTTCATATGGTTTTTCTTTACAGATGGCAGCAAGATGAACAACAAGGTTGTCCTTGCATTTGTTCTTTTTGAAGGCCATTCCGAGATTTGTTTTCTTAGACACCGTATACGGAATGAATGTACAGTTTTTCAAGCAGAATTTCTATGCATTTATCTTGCCGTCAAATGGATCCAGGATCATGGGACAACATCCTCAAAGTACCTTATTTGTTCTGATTCTCTTTCTTCTCTTCAACTTTTGAACAGTATTATCAGCTGCGATAAATTAGTTATCGAAACCCTAGTAACTGTTAGTTCACTTAGAATTAGAGGTATTGATATTTGCTTTGCTTATGTGCGTGCTCATCATGGTTTCTACGGAAATGAAAGAGCTGATATCTTAGCTAAAGATGCCTTAAATTAACCCATTGATATCAACATTAGCATTCCAAAGAGTTATTGGAAGTCCTTTCATTATAAAAAGCTTTTAGCTATGTGGAATGAGGAATACATTTCATCTTGTAAGTCACCAAAAAGTTCCTTCCTTCTATTTACCATAGACTGAATTCCGAGTCTTTCCTCTCGTTAAATTTTAAAGTGTCTCAGTTTTTATCTGGTCACGGTAAATTTGCAAGTTATCTATTTCGTTTTAATCTACGATCAAACAATTTATGTGAATGTTCAAAAAGAGTTCCTCAGGATGTGGAACATTTGATTTTCTCGTGTCCTACATTTGATGGTCCTAGATTATGCTTACAGAACGATTTGAAAATGTTCGGAGTGACTTGGCCAGTGAACTTATCTGCTTTCGTGAAGTACAGACTGCTGTTCTCTGCTTTTGTTCGCTTTATTTATGCATGTAATTTTTAATGTTTATTTATACATGTAACCTTTAATGTTCTAGTTAACTTACTTCTGTAAGCCCCGTGTTGTACATATGTGGTGCACGGGGAGTCTGTATGTTCTCAAAGGAAAAAAAAAAGTCTTGAGTTTTAGGTTCTGATAAATATATTATTGATGTTATTTAACATGCCAAAGGTTTTGAGGGTATTTGCCGTGAAAAAAATGACTGAGAAGATAATTTTTAGAGATAAACTCAGATTTACATTATACTCGGGGGAGGGGAACCAGCAAAATGCTCATAGTAACCCATTTCGACACTAGGACTTAAATTCAAGGTACAACAAAAAAATAGCTGTTAATTTTAGGTACTCGGCCAATTAATAAGCTTTTTTCGGATGGTCTTCATATTAAAGGATTTCTGAAGTGTCAGAGCTTGCCGCTATTTACAACTTTTATAATAAAATAAATAATCAAGTGAATAAATTGAAATAAAAGGAAAATTGATGTTATTAAATCTTAAGTGTTGCTGAATAACAAAATTAATGAATTCATCTCTTAAAATATATTCTACGTACTGAACTCTGCATGCTTCTTGAATACAGTCTTTTTTTGAATTAACAAACATAAATGGTTAATTTAACTTGGGAAGAACTTTAAAAACTTGCAAAAAATTTTAAGCTATTCTGCCGTTATTTTCCTCTTTTTTTTCTTATTTCATGGTGCTTTAAACATAGGAAAGATTCCAAACTATGTTAGTATAAAGGAAGAATAACTCATACGAGTAGGAAATGTAGGCAGATGGATAGCTGACTGAAAGTTGCATATCCCAGTTACATGATTGCTTAGGTGATTTCTCTGATTATTACTTCGGAGTTTGAAAACGTGTTACTTTTGCAGCTTTTAGAACTAACTGTTAAAACTTACACCTGAGCAGGACTGGAGACTTACTGGAGACTGGCAAACGTTTTCCCATAGATGACAATCGACCTTGCTATATAGCCATTTCATCTAAATTATCTATCCGGAGTAGGTAGCTTGTCGAATTGCTGAATTATACACGGATTCTGACTGCTACTAATTTTGTGAAAAAATATGTAGCTGTCAAACCAATATCTGCTACTTGCACTTTTTGGAGATTTTAATATTTTGATTATTATGACTATTTTACTAACCAAATTTTCATATAAAATCTGCTGTCTGACTATTAGCATAATACGGAGAACTGTGATCGCTAAAAATATGCTATGTGCACCAGCCAGAATATTATCAAATAAAAATTGCTATGTGACAAACGTGCAGATAGCAGATATTGGTTTGACAACGACGAATGTAGAATTTTCACTCAAGTTGTGATGCTGCGCGGCCCCAACCTGCACGCAACAATAGTAGTGACTGCTATGAACTGGAAAGTACACAAAACTCTTAAGAAGGGTTTAACTCCCTTTTTATTCTACTTTAGAAGTTACAGATGCGTGCACTTGACGCTCACAAAATACGCCGACCCGGCGGTAAAATAAAAATAAGAAACTAAAAAATGAATAATAACAAGTTACTACCTACGAGGCTCTCTAAACGTAACTAACCTAACCGCGTTCTAAGGTACAGCTGATATTTCAGCAAACTTTCTGAATATTAAGTTGAAAGATTCAACTATCTGCCGAGGCAAGCACACAGGCCGAAACACGCGGTTCTTCAATTTCTACCCAGCAACCTTCACGCTCGTGAAGCAAGAAAGCACACTTACGAACTCGTTTTCCTTCTATTTAACTCAAATTACTTCTGTTTAAAATTTGAATACTTTGCGCGTTCTACTAAAATTTACATACTCTGGCATTGGCAATTCCAGGGGAAAGTAAGGCTTGACAGGAAGGATAGTTTAAACTTAAAATAAATGTTAGTTAAAATAAATATAAACCCTACAAAGTTATCAAATAAAAATTGCTATGTGACAAACTTGCAGATAGCAGATATTGGTTTGACAACGACGAATGTAGAATTTTCACTCAAGTTTCACGTTACGTTTGTGATTATTTAAGTTTGGATAATTGAAGAATTTCGTTTTACTAATAAATTTGTTAGTTATTCTTTACGTGGCATTTATCGAAATTGAATTTTTTTTCACGTGATTATGTCACAGAAAAGAATTAGAAAATTTGAGTTAGATTTTGCGACGGTAATTACTGCCCCGTAGGAGCTGAAGGTAGTACTTTAGTAGCCTAAGAAGTAGAACTGAAGGTTGCAGCTTAAAAAATTATGTATAATTCAATGTGTTGATAGAAGTTTCTTGCAAAATGCAAACTGGATACTATATTAAGCACGGATGATATACATTGCAGTTTGCTATCATTATATTTTAAGCAAAACTTAGCGAACTAAAACAGTTTTACAATGTACCACTTACCAATAATACAGGAAGAAAAGAGCACAAGGTATTGTCATAAACAGCTGCAAATAAAACCAATTTTTTAACCACCAGGCAATGAGGGGAAGCAATACATAGCCTATATGCCATCCAAAACCGTGAAGGAAAACGTAATATGCTCGGTACTGTGATCCAAGTGTTTCAATAACTGAAATGGAAATAATATTTATGATGTAAAAAAGGAAAAAAATATATGAGTATTCAACAGAAATTGTACAAGTCTAGTCTACAAGCACTTTGAAACCATTTCTGTAATTACACAGAAATTCGCTTACCCTCAGTTCGCTCGCTTAATCATGAATTCATAATTTCTAACGCTTAGTTAAACTCTCAGCGTATTCAGATAAATATTCGCACGCAATGAAATTATTTTCCTTGTAATAAATAGCGCTTTTCGTATATATTCTTTTCTAGAAAATATAAACATCCTAAATAGTTATGCTGCAGATGCGGAAACTCGGTGTGTATAAAATGTTTGAGGAGATGTGAAAATGATAGAATTGTAAGGATTATATTAATTTTATTAACAGTTAAATTTTAAGTTAAAGTTCCATTTCTGTCAAATTCTTAATTTCAACTTACTACTTCCGGCCAGAACGTAGTTTTAGAATCACGTCTGAATACATAATGAGGAAGAGCGGTATTTAACCGCGAAGATCTTTGGACTTAGGGAGAGAGAATCAGAGTTTCTGATTTACGCGCGTCTGCCTTTTGGCCACTCTCTCTCTCAAAGCTGTTATTACGCTCAACCGTACTCAGGCCCTTGATAAGCTTCGTAGTCAAATCAAGGGGCCAACTAGTCCAGAATCTTGATAGCTTCGGCTATATTTCTTTAGTTAATTTTAGTTTAATTCTTAGTCTCTTAAGTTCAAGCCCAAGTGCCAAGTTCAAGCCCAAGTTTGATTGTGCACTCCAAGACGGAGTTTTGTTAAATCTTATTGGAATAATAAAGGGTTAGTTACTCTTCCATCTTGTTGTTTCTTGTCACACGAACTTAAGCGATTATTCGCTTACTAGTTCTTAAGATTCGTCACTTTCTACAGTAACTGAGAATTACAATAGTGAAAAATCTTACAGAATTATGGAGTTAAAACACACTAATAATGGCATAAGAACACTGAATTGTAGTAAACGTCAAATTCTCATCAGGCCGATATAAAAGCCTACATTGTATGCAATTTAGAATATTAAATTAATATGCTTATATTGTTGTGTAGAAGATTCTGCCACAAAGTTCGTAACTGGTCAACTAATTTAATAACATTCAGATAAGGCTGAAATTCCCTTTCCAACGTGTGCCAGATTTGCTGTATTGGTGATAAAATGTTGAGGACTGGATAGTCTTGGAAATGTAATAAATATTCGCAGACATTGCTATGAAAGTAATGCAATATATGTTTGAGTGTTGTCTTATTGGTAAATGGCATATGAACAACTTTGAGAGCTTATTGTGTATGTCTGCAGAATGTCTTCAGATTACGTACAAGTATTCATAACGCCTTTCAAGATGACTAGAAAAGACAGAAAGTCCAAAGAGTATTTATCTAAATTCTCATATCAAATGTGTTGACCATGTACATCCTGGCAGCGTATGTGGGATCGGGGGGTTTCTCCTCACACATATACAGCTGTCATGAGAGAAGAGTGATTTTCATCGTTAAATAGAATATGCTTCTGCTCGGACCTGTTCATGATAATCAACCACTAATATAAATATTTATGCCTATGATGGAAGATCTGTAATAGCTGCTTTAATGGACAGCGATATTTCATCCCAGCTCCTTCCAAACGCTTCCGAAAGGTATCCTTTGATATTATAGGATGCAATGGAGGACAGCAAATGTAAAATAACGACGTCATTAATGAAGTCGTGGCTATTCTCCTAATTACATTATCCTGTCCACCATTTCTGTGTCTGAGGTTTCCTGAGCTCTGTATCGATTACATATGTCTTCTGTGACCCACTGTTCAAAAAATATTAGCAACCACAACATCGCTGTTATATATACACTGAAGTGACAAAAGTCATGGGATACCTCCTAATATTTTATCGGTCCTCCTTTTGCCCGGCGAAGTGCAGCAACTCGACGTGGCATAAACTCAACACGTCGTTGGAAGTCCCCTGCAGGAATATTGAGCCATGCTGCCTCTATAGACGTCCATAATTGTGAAAGTGTTGACGGTGCAGGGTTTTGGGCACGAACTGACCTCTCGATGATGTCCCATAAATGTTCGATGGGATTCATGTCGGACGATCTAGGTGACCAGATCATTCGCTGGAATTGTCCAGAATGTTCTTCTAACCAATCGCGAACAATTGTGGCCCGGTGACATGGCGCATTGTCATCCATAAAAATCCCATCGTTGTTTGAGTACGTGAAGTCCATGAATGGCTGTAAGTGATCTCCAAGTAGCTGAAGGTATCCATTTCCAGTCAATGATCGGTTCAGTTGCACCAGAGGACCAAGTCCATGCCATGTAAAAACAGCCCAGACCATTATGGAACCACCACCAGCTTGAACAGTGCCTTGCTGACAACTTGGGTCCATGGCTTCGTGTGGTCTGCGCCACACTCGAACCCCACCATCAGCTCTTAACAACTGAAATCGTGACTCATCTGACCAAGCCACGGTTTACCATTCGTTTAGGGACCAACCGATATGCCCACGAGAGTCGCTGCAGACGATGTCATGCTGTCAGTAAAGGCACTCGAGTCGGTCTTCTGCTGGCATAGCCCAGGGAAGACAAATTTCGCCGCACTGTCCTATCGGACACGTCACGCGTACGTCCCACATTGATTTCTGCGGTTATTTGACGCAGCGTTGCTTGTCTGTGAACATTGACAACTCTACGCAGACGTCGCTGGTCTCGGTCGTTAAGTGCAGGTGGTCGGCCACTGCGCTGTCCATGGTGGGATGTTATGCCTGAAATTAGATACTCTCGGCACAACACTCTTGACACTGTGGATCTCGGAATGTTGAATTTCCTTACGATATCAGAAATGGAATGACCCATGCGTCTAGCTCCAACTACCATTCCGCGTTCAAAGTCTCGTCGTATTAATTCTCGTCGTGCGGCCATAATCACGTCAAAGCCTCTTCACATGAACACAAATGAAAGCCCTGCCAAAGCACTTCGCATTTATACATTTTCTACGCGATACTACTGCCATCTGTATATTTGCATATTGCTATCCCATGACTTTTGTCACTTCAGTGTATAATACTGACAAGATAGCACCAGATATGTCTGCTGGACCAAGCCATTTCTTTGAGGATTATGATAAGATCTCCCTCTAAATCAAGCAATTATTCATATCGCAAATCGAACAGCCATGTCTGTGCACAACTTGCAATATTAAAGCAGAGAATCCACTTAACTTTGTTTGTGAAAGAAAACATCGGTCGTTTCAAATGTACCATAAAGTGCACAACTCATCCATATTTAAGAAATTCAGCTCTACAATATCTCCACTTGAAATTTTAGTCATTTGCATTGTACAGACATTAGGTTAATTGGAAAAGCCGGAGAGATGAAAAATTAGCAACGCCTTCGCCGGGAATCTAACCACGGACCTCTGGAATACCGGCTCAGCGTGCAGAACCGCTATACCACGAAGGCGGGAGAAATACCTTATATACTCTCTCTTTTAAAGGGCGACTGGGGTTTTTAGGGGACCCAATCGTCAAATTCTAGGTGGGAAGAATCATCATCCACCTCCCTTTTAGTTCGGGCACCACTGTAGAGACATTAGGTTAATTGGAAAAGCTGGAGAGATGAAAAATTAGTAATGCCTCCACCGGGAATCGAACCACGGACCTCTGGAATACCGGCCCAGCGTGCAGAACCACTACACCACGAAGGCACGCTAGGAAGGCGGGAGAAATAACTTATAGCATCACTCTTAAAACAATATTAGAATGCAGAGTTCACGGGTGCAGTGCAAATTAATACAAGTGCTTACATATCTTTTTCAACAGAGTGAATTTTCTAAAGCTAGTGTTTGCAAAAGACAGGAATAATATGTTACACTTACGTCTGCATAAAATAATGTTGCGTTAAAAGCCATTCTAACCAAGTGCTAGCAAATATTATCTGAGAATCAACCACTTCGTATTCTTGAATGTCTTCTGATTTCTTTCTTAGATACAGTTTTATTTCTATTAAGAAGAAAATTATGAAACTATAGTTAAAAATTAAATAAATCATGAACTACACACTGGTGGTGCTGCAATGCTATTCCAGTTCAAAAATCCTGGTAAAGTTTTGGATGGTCATTCAATATATACACATTTAGATTCAAATCCTAGAAAATTAAACAGCTTGGCTATTAGAATGCGGATAATGTAAATTATTATATTAGTAGCGTTACACCCATCTGTGATTTAAACTTAACTCAACTACCTCAAGTTACCTAGGTCTTACTTCAATTCTTTGCGTGAGATTTCACCACGACCGTAGCTAAAGACTTCAAGCAAATAGAGTCTGTTTTAATTTTAAATTTACTTTACCTTATAAGGTATCTCTTCCGCCTTCTTAGCGTGCCTTCGTGGTGTAGTGGTCTGCACGCTGAGCGCGTATTCCAGAGGTACGTGGTTCGATTCCCGGCGAAGGCGTTGCTCATTTTTAAAGTGTCTTGCTTCGAAATACCTAATGTCTCTACAAACTGACCACTTATGAGACAAAAAATTAGAAGCAGCTGTAACAAAAGTTCTCCTTTTAATGGTTTTAATTACGATATCATAGTTCTTCTAACAAAGACTACAATTTTCTTGGATGACTGCTAACAGGGACTGAAAATTTTGAACTTAACAACCAAGTCCATCTTGAAACTCTAAATCTCGCACGAGGCGGCGGTTAATCGCCAAGTTACAAATTAAATAGCAGGCCTCCGGAGGATGTAAAGCCAAACTCTCACACGCGGTTACGAGCTATTCTTCTAACTTTATATTAAAACTGCTTGCTACACAAATAAGCATAACTTTTAGAGCTAATGGATCTCTTGGCGAAATGAGGCAACAAGAAAGATGTAAATTAAACCATTTTTGTTAGTGAAACTCAAACATAATGCCACACTAGCAGAAGACAACAGCTATATTCGAACCTGTCAACCTAGCGTTTACCAGCATGAACAACTCGTGTATCTAC